TCTATAATTAACGTGGGTTGAGGCAATGCAGCTGAATTAGCAGAGCTTATGATAGCCTAGAGTGTGAAAGGAGCACAGCAGAGCACAAAAATCCATTTCACACATTGCTCATCCGCTCCTATAAGCAAAGGCATCACCTCTCCCCTCTGAGGCCTCATGATCGCTCGTATGATCCTTTCAGACCGCATGATATGAAGACAAATGGCACTGAATGCTCATGGATTCTTACACGCGTTAGTATTACAGGTTCATATGGAGGTTTCAATTGTTCATAGATGGGTGATGATATTGTTGAAAGTGAGTTTGGTTACAGGTCGTTACCACTGGCATATGAGACACCCCCGCAACCCCCGACACCATGCAGGGGCCTCCTTACAGTGTTATGAGCCATGTTATATTATATTATGATTAAATTTGCATATCTAGAGCGATTCTATTCTGCACAAAGCCACATTCGAATGGAGCGCCATTCATTCCAGAGAAGCCCTGGAAAGGCCATGCATTATTTTTTGTCTTGTTTTCCATTGATCTCATTATAGCAAAAGTGTGTTTTCACGTAATCTTGACTAGTTTCACACAAGAAAAAAATAACTCAAAATTGACCACTTGGTCAAGAGCCACTATATAGAGTCTATAAAGATTAGATTGTAGCCACCTTCTCCAGTTTGGACATTTGGAAATAGCCTGTCACTGACAGACATGGAGCCATTTCAGCTTGAGGGAGTCCCTGATCAAAATAAAAACGAATTCACTCATCCATGATGTAGCAGTACATGCACTGCTCTTGGAAATGGCTTTTGGTACCTCCAGACCAAAACAACAGAGTCATGATCTCTACAAAAAAAGACAAAATACAAGAAAACCAGTAATGCATGGCCTCTGAACCAACCCTCTCAACTTGTTTGGGGTAAAGAAATGTACATTTTTTCAACAAGGATGCATTAAATTAGGGGTCGACCGATTATCAGCGTGGATATTAAGCATGTTTATGGTTTATTGGTTATGGTCGGATGGATGGATGGATGGATGGATACAGACAGACAGACAGACAGACAGACAGATAGATAGATAGATAGACAGACAGATAGATAGATAGATAGATAGATAGATAGATAGATAGATAGATAGATAGATAGATAGATAGATAGATAGATAGAAGTTAAAGTATTCAAGAGAGGGCTGATTTACAAATACCTGATTCAAATGCTTATGTATAACATCACCATTTGTGGGTGGAGCCCAACCTTAGGGTTCACAGGGATCCCTGAAAATTTGCCGTATGCCACTTGTCATTTCTCAACTTGTCATTGCAACCTCCAGGGCATTTTATTTTATTGAAACCTTCCTACAGGCTTCCTTTTGGAAGTTGTGAATTCACAGGTTTCTAAATGAGACTTATTATCATTTTAAATTAATTCCTTTTTAAATGAGTTCATGGACATACATCGGAAAAATATCCCTAAAGCATTGTAAGTGAAGTACCTTGCAAGCATCACTAATATGTTTTTATCCAGAGGGCACTCCGCAGTATTACCAGCCTCTACGTCAAACTCCTGAATAGAGGCTGCACTTCTGTTGGGGGAAAGATGTGACAGGGCATATTTGTCAAAAGGAGTTTCCTTTTGTCCCTGATGATTAGGAGACACTAAGGATATACTTTTGTTTGAATCACACATAGCTCAGGATGACAGGCCTGCACTCAGGTACCCATCACCTCTCATCACTGCAACGCTCAACTGTGTCACACATGGACAAAGTGAACTAACAAATATAACAGTTACACAATGCAAATGCTGTGCTTTGACAAAACTGGCTCATTATTTCAATCAAAGCAGATGTTATATGTAGATGTTATGTTGGATGTTCAGAACCAAAACTAAAACTATTCATTTATTGTACTTCTATATATACAGAGGGGTCCAAATATCTAAGACACTGATTTTTTTTCCCAATGTATTAGGTCAATAATCAAACCAAGCAAATTCAAGATGCTGACAAGATTGCTTGTTGGATCATTCTCAAATCATACTGGATCACATCAGGTTTTACAGTGAAGTTCATGCAGCCTGTGTGCTGCCATTAAAGCAAAAGAGACAAACCAAAGACATTCTGAAATTCATTTTAATTTTTCAATTCATTTATTCTCTCAAATTGCTATGCTGATAATTTAAGGCAAGACACCACTGGTGAATTGGGTAAACATTTTTTTTAAATCTATTTTTTTAAATAGATATCCCCACACTTCCCCAGTTAATTAATCATAGTCCATTAATTCAAAATTAAACACAGACACTTGTGTCATTTTTAACATATTAGAGTAAAACTTTTTACAGAGGGGATTTTGGATATCGCTTTTTTATTACTCCATAAATAAAAAAATACTGTCAATGTTCAAGAAAAAAACTGCACTGTATTTTTAGAAATAAAATGTTCAGGCAAATGATATAACCCGCTCTATAATTATTTATTTTTTTAGAATATAGGTTTGTGCTTTTGAAGTGGTGATTTCTGAAGAAAAAAATTATAATTTTGAGAAAATATATGATATAAAATTTTGATATAAAATATATAAACTGTAATAAAGTAGATGTGTAGTTTGTATGTTTTCTTTCTAGTCTGAAAGAAGACATGTTATGCAAGCAAAACGATTCAAAATCGATCAGTGCATGAAGAAAAAAACAATGGCTTTGCCTTTAGTGTTTAGCCTTAATTTGCAATGACATACATTTAAAAGTACATAATAGACCTACTTTTTACTAGTGGTCTCAGACATTTAGAGCACATTGTGTATGTAGCCTATAGCTATATCTGTAGTTTTAAATATGAGTAATGTCCTCTAAAAATCTGTTCTGGAGGGTGACAGCTGCAATAGTGTTGCCATGGAGAAATATCGTCCCAGCCCATCCTAGAAATCCACTGACCTGGCAAGTGACAGGTATCAGCCGGACCTGATGATTTAATTAGGGATTAATCCAGAGATAATCTATCTTCACGTTTGTACCAGGTCTGCAATGCTCACACATGTGAGGTTAAAGTTCACATGCTGCTTGTAGACTGATTTCTCGAAAGACCCAAACACTGGCTAGATTCAGACTGAAACGCAATTATCACGCTTATATATGAATATGCCATCAGTCATAGTTTGATGCTTTTTTTATAGGGATGACGTCATCTTGTATATAACTGATGTGGGGCAAACTCCCCTTTGTACAAGTCATGAATGAAGTACTAAAGCCAACACAGTGTTCACGCTGAGCTTGTCGTTAGTTCTGCTGATATTCAGTCACTGTGCCACAGGTAGTAAACCCGTCGAGGTCCTTTAATCCCCTCAGTTGCTGTTTTTAATTAGAGTTTCTCTCATCATCTAGGGAATATCACAGTAAATCTCAACACTTTTCAGAATCAACAGCAAAGCTCACAGTGGGATCATAATAACGGCTGTTGACTCTCTACTGGGCCCCAGATGATGTGCATCATTAACAATCTGTGTTATGACACCGCTCTGGCCTGATTCTGAGGCTGATTTGATAATTGATTTGCACTTTACTCTTGCGATCAATTTCGTATCACTGGCTAAAATGGACTGTTGTTCATTAACATCAAAAGAACAATAAATGATTATAAGCAAATGCAATTTCAATCCAATTTAAAATGCCACAGAGATAAATAACAGGCTGAGAGACAGAAGCTAGTAGCGTAATCCAGATCAAAGGTCTCTTTGTTTTAATACAGATCATTTAACCTTCATCTGTTTTTTTTTTTACCTTTTGATTCGAGCAGCCAAAACCATTGTCACGCCATCAAACAAATACACAGAAAGAGTTGACTTTGCGTTGCGCTATCTGCGGACTCTCCAGCTAACAGCAGAGGCAGCAAGGTGACATCTGGTATCTTTGCACACAGCCATGTTGACCGCGCTGGACGCTGACCAGTTTAGGGGGCTTCTGGGCACAACACTGAACAATTTTCTATTTTCAGCTCAGAATCACATTCATCAAAATCCCAAAAGCAGAACATCTAAGAGTTTCCAAGCTTTTGATATCCAAGCTACAAGGGTCTGATTTCCAGGTCAGTATTGGGGTTATAAAACAGTTAGTTTAACATTTTTTTAATATATTGTAATTTCTTCATTTTGGTCCTTATCGTGGTATCTGACATATGTTATATACTTTTATTAATAAATGTATTAATAAATATACATTAAAAAAAATGTCATTATTTTAGTTCAATTATATTCTAATTCAGTTTAAAGATATACAATTTATGTAAATAATTTATGTATTTATTAATGTTATATATATATATGAATTATGAACATAAACATTATAAAATTATAATAATAAATATTATATTATAGTTCAAATATATACATTGATTAATAAATGTATACATTCATTTAATTATAAACAAATACAAACGTTACAAATATATAAACTGAATCGATTATTAAATTGAATTAACTGAATTAATTTAAATAAACTTAAATTCTATTAATTCAATACAATTAGATAATTAATTATATTAGTGTTATTTTGTATCATTGAGATACTACTAGTTATTATGTATTCTGAATCCGTTTTTATTTTTATAATTTCTGTTTTCATTTAAAAAAAATTTATTTTAGCAAAAATTAGTTTTTGTCATTTTTAATACTTTTTGTTTATACAGACACACACAAACACACACACGTCTATAGTTTATATATATATATATATATATATATATAATAACACATTTAATTAAATATTAAAATATATACAATACAAAGGTTTTTTTATTTATTGATGACAGACTAAATAGAATTTTTTTGTATACTTTTTAGTTTCAAAGAGTAGCAAGTTCTCATAAGTAATTATGTTTCTTCTCACATAACTTCTATGGATTGTTTTTGTGAACATCCTGAATAAATCACCACACACTTGAAGGTTTAAGTGCACATAGTCTTCACCGGGACGGGGAAAGCAGTTGTGCAAGACTGTAAATCATTTGTTTGATGTTGCTTTGACTTTTTGTTGCGGGTGTGTGTCTCTCTGTCTGTCCAGCAGGTTTTGAAGGTGGAATGGGTATCGTGATTTACAGATAGCGTGTCTCAGCTCCAGAAAGGGTGATGGTCTCCATTTGTCTGTTTCCTTTTGAGTGTCAGCCCAATCAAGAATGGGATTGGCTGTCATGGCTGTCAGGCTGAAGGATGAGGGGAGATTGGGATGGGAGTTCACGTCAGACATGTGACTGATGGACTGACTGACTAAATGAGTGAAAGCCAGTTTAGATATATGAAACACAAGCGTCTGTGTCTTGAGAGGTGCCTAACAACCTCCCATCTGTAAAAACGCTCCTCTCTAGAGCTTTGATATAGCAGACAACTATCGAAACACACACGCCGACAAGAGCTGTTTGTTTTATTGTGAAATGAAACCAGGTTCATTGTGCTTTCCAGAAGCATCTCCTACATTCGGTTTGAGCCTGACCTGAAGCAAATCCTCAGAAGAGAGCAGATGGCTCCTTTTCTGATGTGTGTGAGAGACTTCCCAGGGACCACAGTCTGAGGTATCAACAACACACACACACACACACACAGTACTTATCTCATCCATACCCACCCTCACAACACTCCGCTCGAGTGGCTGACTGATGGATGCGAGATTCAGAACGACAGAGAGTCTCCATGGGTTTTTCTTAAGCAAAAGCAGTAGAGGACAAGGAGAAAGAAAAATACATAGAAAAAGAGCGATAGAGACTGCACTCCCAGTGTGAGCAGAATTAGGTTCAGTCTCAATAGTTGACAGATCCTGGGAGAGAAGCTAATCTAAGAAAACTGAGATGGTGTGGAAGCCCTGAAGATAACATGTCAGGTTTACGCAGAAAAACTCCTGCTACACCTTACCTAAGGGTCACATTCAACACTCTGCGGCCCAGTCAGTTTCAGGTAAATAGTGCTTTAGAGCACTATAGAGATTGTTGGAATCACTACAAGTAATCAAACACCCCTGTTTCTGACACAAAGTCAATGCTAAATTTATCTTATGCCGTTAAATTTGAGTCTACGCTATGAATCACGCGTGGTCTGTTATGATCTTAAACTTCTTTCAGATGCGACGTGGAACCGTTAACTCACTTCTTAAAGGAATAATTCATCCAAAAATGAATATTCTGTCATTACTTACTCACCCACATGTCTTTCCAAACCCGTATGCTGTTCTATTTTCTGTGGCTGAAGAATTTTTCTGCATGCAGTGACAGTTCACGGTGATCTGTCAACATCCTAAAAGGACAAAAACACACATAAAACACCATAAAAGTAGACTCTTGTGCTATATTTCAAGTCTTCTGAAGCCATATGATAGCTTTGTGTGAGGAAATTCAAGTCTTTATTTACTGAATGTTGCAACATTAGCTTGGAAAAATGTGCTTCTACCTATATTTCTGCTAAACTCCAAAAATGTACCTGTGCATATAATTAGATGAACACTAGTGGCAGTAAAACAGAAGCAACATAATATAATTCTGCAGAAATGTTGCACCGAATGTATTTTAAACAAAGACTGAAAGAGTTGTTGGAAGCTTAAAGGTCATTTATAACCTTCGTTTAGATTTTTACTTCCAGTGATTGTATTTAGTTTTCATTTGTAACGATTATTGTGAACAAAACTTTTGTTGGTTACATAGCTTATTTTCTGTAATAACCCAGTGGAAAGCCAATGGAAAAACCCTACTGGGTTTTTGTTGAGGAAACCAGGGTTGTGAGAACTTTCTATATTTTAACTGATTTGAGAGCTGGTGGTATAAACATTTTTGTCTTAGAGTATATATATTTGGTACTTTTTGGAGCCTGACAAATGTGGTCACTGTAAGCTGTTGTTTTATGGTACAAATTTGAGTAAAATTCTATATTGTGTCAGAGAAGAAAAAAACAGCATACAGGTTTAAAGGCCATGAGGGCATTTCATTTGTGCCTTGCTCTAGTTTTGGCTCTTATATGTTACAGATTTCTTTCCTGTTTGTACCCTTTTGCTTATCGATTTGAATGTGTTTCCTGGTGGTTATTGACTGTTTGGATGTTGACCTTTGACCTATTTAGCATTTTGGCCTATACCCACACACACACTGAAAATGTACTGTATCGACACCCTTAACTCCAGCGTCCTCCTTAAAAAAGCACAAATACAAACTGAATTTAGTTAGCATGAATAAAAGAAGCTCCAATTCTACCAGAACAGATAATGTCTAAACATATCAGAAATCCAGCGCTCTGACGTTTGACAATAATGCACACCTCTCATACTTTCGGCCCATTTTCATAAATGCACACAGCTCCAAGCCTCTTTTCCCCCTACGGCACGGCCATCAATCTTCACTGACATCCTATTAACTCACAACAGACACCAATACCCACAGATATAGGTTTCGTTGGCTATGTCTATCCCATTTATTTATTTATTTATTTTCCCATCGATCTGTCACAATATGTAGGATGAAACGTTTAACCGTGGCCCAAAAATAGCCGCAGCTGTGGAGGAATTAATACATCTGCTAACATGTTATTTTTTTTCTCCCTCCTTCTGAAACTGACTCCATATTTTCACTTTGCTAGTAGCGTCTCTGCATGTGTCTGACATATGCTATTGTTCGTGTCACTTACAATTTGAAACCAAAAAAGTTGACACTTACAAATATGGATCGAACTGTTACCATTGATCTTGGATATTCTGATCGGACTTTGCGGTTTTCTCCAACAGACTATTTACCCCGAGGAAACTCACAGTGAAACCTGCCAACTTGTGTGAGAGGCACATACTAAACCACACATCAAAATGACGAATCGTCGAAATAATAACACTGATCAAAGAGCTGCTCCACCGTCATCAGTGCTCAGATGAAAGACTCCTGCGATCCCTCCAGGGGAGCAGTAATGCTGAAAAGCTCTGGATGTCAGTGTGCCCTGATGTCTGGTCGATGGGGAGCCAGGATGGCAGGAACAGGTATCAGACATGGATGTGGCGTTATCAGTTCAGCAGGCGCTACTTCCTCAGATTGATCCATCTTAATGAGCTCATCACGCCCCTGCGGAGAGACGCCCTGATTACATCGGCACGCCACACGGAAGGAGAGAGCCTGCAGAGTTATATACTGCCCATCACGCATACATGCACATGATGCACGTAACACAGTTTCTTAAACCACACTGTTGAGACACTGATATAATGTCATTTTTAGAGCAAGAGTCATGCGATGACATTAAAAACCAAAACTAAAAATTCTGTCATTATTTATTCATCCTCATGTCATTCCAAACCTGTTTTCTTTTGCTCTAAACACAAACAAAAATCATTGTTTTCGCATTGAACAAACTTAAGTTTATGTTGTTGCTCACTAAAAATATTAATCTCTAGTTTGTCTTTTAAATATAGCACCTATGTTTCAGGTTAGATATCAATAACATCAAACATGACCGTTTTTCAAGTGTCTCATAGTCATAACCAAACATCATGGTGTCAAAGTTGCCATATTTGATTTGAGAGTCACAGCAATAGAAACATTAGCACACATACAACTTTGAATATAACATTACATTTATATATAGCATTATATATTTATAATATATATATATATAGTAAATACAAATTAATTAATTTGAGCTACTGCTCAGACGTTTTTGAAATAAGTATCTTATGCTCACTAAGGCTGCATTTAATTAAACAAAATACAGTAAAAACACCAATATTGTAAAATATTACAATTTCTTCCCAAAAAAAATCTTCAGAAATTATTCTAATATGCTAAATTGGTGCTCACGCTTAATATTTTTGTGAAAACCATTTACAAGATTCTTTGATGAATATAAACCTCAAAAGAACAGAATATACTATTATATATATATATATATATATATATATATATATATATATTGTAACAGTGTAAAAGTCTTTATTGTCACTTTTGATCAATTTAATGTATCTTTACTGAAATTATTTGTATTGTTAAATTTTGTTGTTGAATTTTTTTGGCTTGTCCTTCAAATTGTTGTTGTATGGGAAAAAATGTAAAGATGTGTTTTTATACAGGTTTGGAATAACATCAAAGTATACTGTCACATAATAACATATTCCAACAGAGTTTGTCTGTCTTTAGTTGCTGTCACTTGTTGTAGTTCAGTGGATTGAAGGGTGTTAGGTTTGCTATTTGAAGAGCGAGTGTGTCATCACACAATAGAAAAATATTGAAAAAAGGCAAAAAGAAAGTGGTGACTGGATTGGTCCCTCTAAGCGAGATCCCAATTTCGTCGGTCAACCGACGTGACGTCGGGAGTGACCGACTGAAAGGGAACTCTTTCATCCTCTTTCCCCTTTCATCCCATCCACATTTAGCTTCTATTTCTGTAAACCGGCCCAGACAAACAAGTACCCTCAAGGTGTCAAATTGACCGTAAAAGCACCACACAAATAAAGACTCGGAGAGGATAACATCCACTGCTGGTGACTGAATGGATCAAGCACATTGTTATTAGTTACACATATTTATAGTCTACACCCCACTTTAATTAGGTTTCATTCAATCAATAAAGACTTGGGTAAAATAAAGTCAAGTTGTACCCCATCTCTATCTTGCCACAAAATAATAGATCATCATTAGTAAGTCCTAAAAATACTGTTTGTGCATTTGAGCCAAAACCATTAGGCCCTTTCTGAAAGCAATCTGACAGAAGAAGACTATAAGAGAGTTGAGTTCAGAGCTTGACAGGTGCACTAGAGCTCGGGTGCACTGATAATTGCTCTCCAGATGAGAGTGAAACCTTCCTTTAGCATCATTAATCAACTGAATACATTACAATCAAACCAGCATAATTAAGAAGCTAAATTAATTAGAGCAGAAATGGATGCACAAGTGCAAAATATTGCTTTTCCGCTTCCAGGCCCCCCCTTTTTAAACTCGTGCCGCCATTAATGAAGAAATGAGAGTCGTTAAACTTCATGACTATATTTGCCTCTGACCTGGTTTTAATGAGCATGTTTATGAGGCCGTCATGGTGCTTGAACACTTGGTAGAGTGGCAGATATGGCTGGGACTATAATCCCATCCAGTCAAGTGAGGATATACTGAGCAGTCGGTATTGAATTATTAAATCATGAAACAGGTAAACCTTTTTACACTCTGAATCATGAGTCCATCTGTTTTAGGGCTGACACAAAAAGCTGTGTTCCAAAACCTAGTGAGCTGCTTAAATAGGCAGCCGCCTTCTCAGACAGCATCTGAAAAAAACTGACCAGTTTGCAAAACTTTACATAGGTAGCAACTGTGTGTATAAAAAGCATGCCTCGTGTGAAGAGCACAGAAGACTTGACAATTGATTCCAGTAAAGCTTGACCTTATCATGTTGCTAAGCAATAACAGTTATGTGTTAATAAGCTATGTAAGGAAAATATTTGTTTTCAAATCTAATAAAAAAATCTAATATTATTTTACAATATTTATGGAAGCATTGTGATGTTCAATAATATTGTATATTTAAATACAGTACATTTATATATTAAATATATAAAATGTTATTTAAAAAAAAGATATGTATTTTTATTCATATAAAATATGTTTATTTATAATTCAAAATTGTTCTTGCTAAATCCACCCTTTAAATGTATTAGCATATTTAAGTTGCCTACATTTTGGAACAGCCTTTGCATTAAAGGAATTGCTCACCCCAAAATGGAAATTTACTGAAAATGTATTGTAAGGGGTAGGGGACAACAGGGGGTGGACTTTTTCACTGGAGGAATGGATTATAGACTCATATTTTGGTCAAAAGCTATATATGGCTTAAAGTTAAAATGCCTGAATGATGGATTTGTTTCTTGCAAGCATGCAGCTTTTCACTTCAAATAACTGATTGACTACTTGTGGATTGTTGTGATGTTTTTATCAGCTGTTTGGACTCTCATTCTGACGGCACCCATCTACAAACTCATCTACATCTTGGATGGTCTGAGGGTGAGAAATGTTCTGCAAATTTTCATTTTTGGCTGAACTATTCCTTTAATATGTCTCCTTGGCAGACAGCACACTATAACGTTTGGAACAGAGAAACATAGTCACACCTCTATATATTGTATAAATAAATTATTCAGTCAGTCCATCAAATGAGGAACAAAAGGGATTGGCATTGTCATAGAGCATCAGTCTTAAGTTCTGTGACCGTAAATGGCCTGCAAGCACTGTCCTCATCCTCCCATTTGATTTCCATCAGATGGCACTCATCAGGGGAAAATGTTG